TGCGGGATGCAGCTTGGCACGTGCAGAGGGGTGAAGCTGGAGTTGTGCAGCAGAATCGCAGCTGCAGGTTCCTCAAGGGGTGCTGTGGGGCATTTGTTGCTGACCAGGCACAAAGCTCTGAGAAATGGCGTTAATGTTTATCTGCTGCTATTCGTGGACTGAAGGTTCAGGGTTGGCCTACTGAGATGTCTTTTGTCACAGATTATTCTGTGTGAGGGAAAAAGCTCAGTTCTGGTCATAGAAGTTAGCGTTATGGGAGATTAATTAGTGCAATAATTCGGGAGGCCATTTATGTGAGTCTGAGTCTTGCTCAAATTCTTTGTTCCTTTGCATAAAGAGCGTACTCTTAGTAGGACAGTGTTGCTTCAGCCATTGTCTGCCTCTGAAAGCCTTGGTTTGAAGACATCTTGATGTTTTAAACTAAATTCTCATTAGAATGTCTCTGTTTTACAGACATTTTGGAATGGCCTCACCCAAAATGTTCTCAGAGCAGCATCCAGCAGGAAATACGCGTAAGTGTTCCTTGGGGTGGTCGTGCTTGGCTGTTGGTGTTTATATTTCCCCTGTTGCTGATAACAGAACTGGTTATTAGAGCCAGGGATTGAGTAACAGAGCCAAACCAGCAGAATAAAACTAGAACCTCTGCCCATAACTTTTCCAAGGCTGTTTCTTTATTTCTTGTTTCTCTCCAGGGAAGCCTTGAGAATTGATGTTCCGTGCTGCTCCCCCACCAGCAGTGCCCATAAAACATGGATTGCTAAGATTTGTTTGACTAAAACCGACCAAACAAAAAGTAAAACAAAAACCAAATTAAAACCCTGATGGAGCAAATTGTTTTACAGTGCCATGAAATGGGTGATGCCTAGGTCCATTCCCCTGCAGATAAAGTTCATTTCAAACATGCATTTGAATCACTCCTTTTCCCTGTTGCAGGATTGTGGTGGTGCATATTTCTGGGAGTTACTTTGTTTCTCTGTGACGTGTTTTTCCCTTCCTCTCCCAGTCCCTGAAACTTTATCCCATTGGTTGGTGTTGTATGTCCCCCCGCCCCTCTCCCGAGGTTTGAAGGAGTCCGGGAAGGAGAAACCCGGTCTCTTCTCCCCTGGAAGCTAGCCAGAGTAAACATCCTCTGATACCCCGGAGGGAGAAGCAGCACTTTTTGGTCTTTTCTTGGTCTCGAAGGATCTCCCTGATGCCTCCATTCGACAGAGCTAGCGTGGATTACTTCGGGGGGCTAAGGGAAGTTCGCTTCAGGTGGCGACCAACGTAGGGGCTTTGAATCCCCCCGGGACGGCTGGAAAACACCCCACGGGTGTTTTAACAAGCCTAGGTACCGTCACTTACCCTGCAGTCTTTACTGACGGGGGTCGAGTTGGTAGCTCCGTGAGTACATGAGTCAACTCGGACTGAGAACCTCTTTTTTTGTTTTCTGTTTTCTTCGAACACCGCGCATCCTTCAGGAAACAGGTACTGGGTGGGGCGCGGGGGGTGCGGGAGATCCGGCGGTTGTTGTCGGGTTTTGCGAGTCACAGTGCTGGTAGTGCCGGTGCCAGAGCCTCTCCCCGGTATCTGGACCGAGGGAGCCCACGTGGCTGCACACGTGGTGTGTGTGGGGGCGGTGCCGGCGGCGCGTCCTGGGCTCCGCGGTGGTTTTTAAACCCTGACCGCAGTTTGGATCTTTTCTGCTTTTCTCGGTGGTAAAAAAAAAAAAAGGTTAGACCAGTCTGTGTATCAAAGCCTTAAGATTGGCCATAGGTTCCTTTTTGTCTACACAGGAAAGGAATAAATATTCCCATATTAAGAATATTTTAAAGGCTGGAAATATCAATTTCTCAAAAAATAAGCTGAGGAAATTAGTAAAATGGTTTTTTTGCATTTTCTGGATTTGAATGTTGATTCCCTGCCTGACTGGGAAAAGGTTGGACAAGCACTTACTATGCAAGTTGAACTGGGGGACAGCACAGCTGGCAAATACCTCCCATTGTTTCTTTTAATTTGGAAAGCCATTCTACAGAGGCAAAAGCCTCCGGCTCGCTCTTTTCCCCCGCTTCCCTCGGCCCCCCCGGTCAGAGGGTTTGTCTGAAGCATTACAGGCAGACAAAAACTCCTGCCCGGACCCTTCCCTCCCTGCAGAAGACCCCAAAAAACATAGCTTAAAATCCTCCCTGCAAGGAGGGGAGGGCTCGGCTGAACTTACTCAAGAACATGTGCAGAGCCAAAATGACGCTGGCCACGTGTTACCCGGCCACATGGTGAATCCCCCTGTGTACCCCCTTTCTCCTACCCATAATCCCTCCCACCCACCGGGTCCTGCCCCCAACCCTTATCACAACCCCTTTGTTCCCCCTGACATTCCACCCTGCAATACCCCCCATCCCTGCCTGGCCCCACCCTATGACCCTGCCCCCCGAGGCTGTAACCCTATTCCCGATCCCTTTGCCCCCTGTCCCGGGGGAAGGAGGAACGGGGAGGGAGAGAGTTACACCCCTTGCTCCTGCAGAGGGGCAGAGGGAAGGGTGCTCCGGCCCTGCCCCCTGGGAGGGGGGTGTGAGCCTCCAGGGCCCAGCGTGGGGATGTGCGGAACCCCAGGGCCCGGCGGGGGGGGTGGGCGCCCTCCTCCGGCTCCTGCGGGGGAGGAGCTGTGTCTCTCCACAGGTGTGGGGAAGGAACGGGCACCCCGAAGCCAGGCGGGGGTGGGGCTGGGGGCAGAGATGAGGCGGGAGTTGGGGCAGCGGCTGGAAATGGGGCGGGAGCCGGGGGCGCGGCTGGGGGCT